CAATCCATTAGATCTCACTAACAACTCCTCTCACTAAAAATTTTTGAGCAACTGAAATTGATATTGCTGAATTATCAGATCAAAAACTATCAAACGAGTATCAAATGTAACTTCGCCTAATTTTTGTGAAATAAAAATGAAAATTGAATGACACTTTTAACGTAACAGTTTCCTTGAACCGGAAAATACTTACTCACGTTAGATCTTTCAAGACCTAATTAGACTTATATCAAGCCAAGAGAAAAAAAACTGAATTAGAAAAAGGGGAGAAAATAAGGGATTACTCGAAACGTTTCTTTATACGGAAAAGTCTCGTCTTCACCTTTAGTGTTTTTTTTTAGTTTTTGTCAGGACTCCTTTGAATAAAAGCTGTTTAAATTTTTTTAATTTTCAATAATGCGTAATTAAAACAACACAAAAGTGAAATCTATTTTGGAAAACCACAACCTACCCAGGTTTACCAAACATGCAAACATGCAATTTTGATATATGAAAATTTCTCGTCTTGCGATTTCCAGAAAAACATGCGTACAAAAAATTGTATATAACCTCTATGATGAGCAGTGTTTACACAAAAAAAATGCATGACAAGCAGCGTGAAATTTGAATGATTAGTGAAACTCCAATAAAGTTAGGTGTTGACGGATAAGCTGCACGGATAAATTGAAACTCATGCCTTTCTATCAAAGCAATTGTAATTTTTCTCGCAGAATCAGGTGCAAAAAAGTTACTTTTCGTGTAGGGCGAGAAGGTTTTGCAGTTAAAAATAAAATGGTTGAACAGAGTTCCGTTTTTTTTATACATTAAGAGGGCAAACTGTGCATTTTGTGATTTGTAAGCGGATTCCGCAATGGGCCAAAAACAGATATATTGCGGAATCCGCAACATTGCTACTTTTTTTGATCTTGTTCACTGTTTTGGATTCCACGGACAAGAGACTAAAACACTGTATTTCTCAAAATTGCTCCAAAAACAGGCTACTTTGCGGAATCTGCAACAAAATTTGTGGAACCCGCAACAAATTTTGCGGAATTCGGAACAGTTTGGGGAAATATGAAAAAATAATAATATATGAATTTAGTAAAATTGAGCTGTCGTGAAATCCGCACCTGTAAGCAGCATCCAGAAAATCTAAGCGGATTCCGCAAATCGTAAACCCATTTACATTTGCGGAATCCACTTACGTTTGGTGAATCCGTAACAACTACCTATATTTGCTCGTTGCGGAACCCGCAACAAAACTAATGTACCGACAAAATTCACACTACAGGTATTTTTACGCGAAATCCACGGAAATTTTGTTAGTGGAATTTTAATACTAGTAGTTTAAACACTTGTCTCTGGAATCCACAAACACACAGACACAAAATTGTCCGCCTATCCAGTGCACAGTTTGGCCTCGTAATGTAAAAATTTAGGCGTATCGTTGTAATATTTGTGAACATATAATATAAACCTAATTGGGGTCATTGTTTTGTTTGCGTGAAACATTAAACTTAGATGATAGGTAAAAGTTTTCAACGCAAAATTTTTGTTCGTGAATTGCTTTTTCGAGCGCAGAAAAACAATTTTTTTTTGCTAATTTTAGGTTTCCTCGTCGTACTATTTTAACACAAAAAAGGATGACTTTCTCATCCTTATAGATCAAAAACTTCAAGGCCGTCGAATAGCCTATAAATTTGTTTTTAAACTAAATTAAACCGATTCTAACTGAACTTAACTGTGTCTTTTAAACAGTGTTAAAAACTTGTGAATTAAATAATTTGATTATTTTTTGTCCATTCATTCGCTTTATTAAACTGGACATAAATAATTTTTTCTTGGGAGAACAACCCAGGTAAATAATCATGTTTGAATTTTTTTTGAAGAAATCTAGTTCTTTAATTTTGTCACAAAGTATTTCAGGACTCAGGAGGTTCGAGAAAAAACGGAAGTAATGAGAAAAAAAGAGGTAAGTTCTCACTTTTTAAACCATTTTCCATGTATAGACACATATTGCGGTGGCTTCATTCATAATATTTTGTGTGAGGATTATTATTGTTCCGACTTTCGATACGAAAGTAACGGAATATTTGTGCTCGGGGTGGGTTTTTTTTCTTCAGACAAATTTCGACTTTTTAACTAGCCATTTTTGACGGAATTTTTTTATATCAATCAAAAGGTATTGTTGTCCTGAGCTTAAATTTGAAAGAATATTTCACCTGTGATCTTTTTTTGTAAGTTATGAGGGTTTAAAGATTACCATTTTGGCTAATTTGGGACAATTAACGCGCGATATATTTCGCGCTATTAACGCGTAAGCGGAGATTTAATCCGTCTTAGAATCGTTCATAATTGGTTGAAAGAAGCTTATTTGCCTTAATTGATTTGTTACAAGGAGCTAAATCTATTCTTTTGTAGTTTATATGGCGTGTGGGGTGATGATTTTCATGGAAAAAAAAAATTCAAATTTGAAGAAAAAAAGTTTTTCATTTTTTTTACATTTAGTTTGTTAATGATATTTATTTTATTACTGCTTCACAAACCTTAAAAGGCAGTCGGAACATTCAGGGCTTCGCCCTGATACGAGCAGTCTTGTTGTTCCGACTTTCGATACGAAAGTAACGGAATATTTGTGCTCGGGGTGGGTTTTTTTTTTTCTTCAGACAAATTTCGACTTTTTAGCTAGCCATTTTTGACAAAATTTTTTAATATCATTCGAAAGCCATTGTTGTCCTAAACTTAAATTTGAAAAAATATTTCACCTGTGATCATTTTTTGTAAAGTTATGAGGGTTTAAAGATTGCCATTTTGGCCATTTTGACCAATTTGGGACAATTAACGCGCGACATAATTCGCGCTATTAACGCGTAAGCGTAGATTTAATCCGTCTTATAAATCGTTCCAAATTGGTTGAACGAAGCTTATTTGCCATAATTGATTTGTTACAAGGAACGAAATCTATCTTTTTGTACTTTATATAGCGTGTGGGGGGATGATTTTCACAAAAAATTTCAAATTTTGGAAAAAAAATTTTCATTTTATTTTATTTCATTTCATTTTTTATGTTATTATTGCTGCTCCATAAACCTTAAAAGGCAGTCGGAACCTTCAGGGCTTCGCCCTGATACGAGCAGTCTTGTTTAATTTATTGTTTATTATTTATGAAAGACATGTAATAAAGTTTAAAGAGTTGGGTACCGTCCTGATTAAGATAGTATCTCATGTCAATTCTACAATGTATGTTTTTGGTTCTATTTATGACGTTTTGACGTATGTTTTACAATGTATGTTTTTGACGTCTATTTATAATCACAATCTGTGGAAACTTGAATTTAGTAACTTCAAATTAATTTGGAGTTGAAGCATACATTTTTTGACGCGGATACACCATTAAGCTGATACGTTTCAAGAGTCATGGGAGGCGAAGAATGTTTTCATGAGTCGATGCAAGTGGTTCAGACTGTTACATACGTCAGGAGTATACAATAAAATTAGTTTAAGCTCAACTTTTGAGCCTGAACTAATTGATTTTTATTGTTTTTTTTTGATGAAATGTATTAATGGAAATTAGTCAAGGCTCAATTTTTTTTGCTGTTTGATTTTTGATTTTCTTTTAATCCAATTTATTTTTTTTGTTAAAAGGAAGGAAAAATCAAACATTGAATAGCATAAGTGTAAAAGTCTTGAAAACCGTGATCGACCGTGTTTTTTTTCGAAAAAGGAATTAAGGGAAATTTCCAGCAAATACAAAACTTTAATTATCATAACAGTTTTTGCAAATTCATTTTAACTGCATCACATTTAAAAAGTGTCAACCATGATTTGCTCTAGAAAATCAAAGAGCTTCAAGAACATCTATTTTTTTCTTTGAACTTCAAAAGTTTGCATTTTTTCAAAAAAAAGTTCGAAAGTTCGTTGTTCTTTTCTGTTTATTTGTTCACACATTTGAAGCTTGATGTTTTCGTAGTTTTCAATATAAAGTATGCAAACTTTTATACAAAATTTGTCGTTCCGAATTTCCAAAAAAAAGTGCGGAATATTTAAGCTTGGGGTAATTTTTAGTTCCAACATTCAGAGGTTAGGAATTAGAAAAAGTGAGATGTATATATATATATATATATATATATATATATATATATATATATATATATATGGGTATCTTTTTCAATTGAAATCAATCTCCAAAAGTCTCTTTGCTCAGAAAGGATCAATTACCGGATTTTTGTATTCACAGAAGGGTTGAGCTTACCATTATGCTAACTTTATTTAAGGAAGCTGTGAAACGAGTCAAGCTACACTGCTCGTTTAATATTTAGACGCTGAAAGTCTAACGCAAAAAGTTCACCTGTAATAAAACATACCACAATCCAAAACTGTCTCAAGTTGATTTGAAGCAACCTCATTGGTCGTAACAATTCCATACAGGACTCTTTTTTCAATTTAGAAATTCGTTCAAAATTATTAGCTTTCAATGCTTTTTGGAATAATCTTTTTGAGACCTATTAAAAAGCAATAGGAACATTCAGGTTTTTGCATTGATTTTTTGATATACAAGCAGTCTTCTTCATGTGGATGAAAGTAGTTCGGACTTCTTATATAGGTCGCGATGATTTTTTCTTTTGTTTTTGGGAAACGTCTTAAGAATTTGTTCAGGCTCAAAAAACATTTTTCGCGGCTGACTTCTGACCAAAATGTTTTCATTTTGCAACATAATTTTGTTGGTAGCTCCAATGTAGAAAACTTTTATAAGGCTGTGATCATGTTTTACTGTGTTTTAATGCATTGAGTTCGGCATCGTTGGCGACTAATTCGACGCCTTTTATTCAAATTGTGATAATTAAAAAGCTTGAAAGTGAAGCAATCAGTCGTTGAGCTGTTTGTGAAAAGAAAAATTGGCTTTAGCTAAGGTGCTTCTAAGTTATGCGCATAACTATGAACCGGCTTAAAACAAATCACGCTTGGTGGCTCTTGCATGAGACTGGACTTGGTGCCCCAGTCAAAGTAGCTTGCTTATAGGCATGGTTGGATATGGTTAGCCGTATGTGTGTCTTAATTATATCGTTCTATCGAACCATCAGCGAAAAAACGTGAACGATTTCTAGCTTCGAAAGTGGAATTTAGTTTATCGATTTCCAGCAGAATAAAAGCTTTACCTTTTGATTCAGTTTTCTCAAGTTGGGTTAATGTTATCAGAAAATTTCCTATCATAAATTTTTCTTGAAATTCAAAGAGCTATATATATCTTTTTTTTCTCTCTGAAATTCGAAAATTGAGATTTTTTCAACAAAGTCAGAATTTTTTTCTGTTTACTTGCATTCTTTACTCCTTTCAAACTGCCAGCTGGCTATGTTCTAATTTTGAACATTTTAGCGAGCTCCAAGCCCCATGGCAACCAGGATGGCAACGATGACCAGACGGGGTCGGAACAGTCGGCCAGACGGCAGAAGGAGGATGCTACTCTGGAGACAGTGAAGAAGGACAAAGAGCAGGATTCGGAGGACTCCTTCCGAAGAGGTAATTTTTACGACCTTAAACAAAATCAAAGTTATTTACACGGAATCAATCTAGCTTTTGAAAGTCAGTTCAATTAAAAAGTTATAACCCTCTGCATTTTTTTCATACGTTCACAGAATTAGCGCTTTCTAATTTGCGTCATTAACTAACGTTTACAGATTGATAGCCTTTGAAATCGTGCTGCTTGTTTTTGCCAGATCTAGACAGAATAACACCAGCGGATGTTAAATAACTTGAAGAATTTTAAATTTGGATCTGCTTATATTCTCATGTCGATATGCTTATTAACTAATTATTTATGGTGCGACTGTTCATTACTTTTATTAAGAGATTCTTACGTAGTTTCTTATTTTTAATTGGAATGAAGAACTGACCAAATCAAACTTGGGGTTACTCTACGGTCGACTTTTTCGCGCTACTATGATAAATTGGGATCGTCTTGGACCGATTTCAGAATCTGAAATAGTGAAGACTAACTGGAAAGAACTGCCGAAATAGCTTGCTTATATAAATGACAATTGAAAAAAAGTTTGACAGCATTTTTCTCTGAAATTAATATTTGATGGTTTGACTGAATGCTCTCTCTTTCTATTACTGTTGTATATTTCGAAAGAAAATTCTTTTACTTGCTACCAGATTCAATAAATGGAAGAGAAAACAAGACTGCTCGTATCAGGGCCAAACCCTGAATGTTCCGGCTGCCCTTCAATGTCTTTGAAATTGCAAATAATTTATACAATTTTCAAAAAAAAACATTTATTTCGAATACTCCGAACATGATGGTTACAACAAAAGTCTTGCTTCAATTTACTTTGGATCGGTTTATGAGCAAAATAAGTTACTGCTTACGCGCGTAAATTAATAGCGTGATTTATTTCAATAATTGGCGCAAATTAGCCGAATTGGCAATTATCAAAAGGCCGTAACTTTCTGGAAAATGATAGCAGATAAAAATTAATTTGAAATTGGCTCATGGCGACAGTTTTTATCAGATGGGATAAAAAATTTTGTTCAAAACAGCCAGTTAAGAAGTTGAAATAGGGCTACAAAAAAAACATCCAGAGCACAAATATTTGGTCACTTTCTTCGACAGTCGGACCAATAACAGAAAATGAGTTCAACGAATCAGAAGAAACAGTCTAGCCAACAGGAAAAATTGTTTAAAATGTAATCGTTTTTTATAGTTTTTACAGTTTGATAGAACAAGATTGACTAATTTTAGTAAATTGACTGCAAATTTTGTTCCGTTTTTCGCTTATACCATCCAAATAAACCGATGCATGGACCTCATAAAAGTTCACCTGTGATCAAATTTTGTAAAAAAAGGGCTTGAAAACTGCTAGTTTGGCAAATTTAGGATTAATTATATGCAATTTATTGAGTTCTTACAACAAGCTTAAGAGGCGGATTAATGCATTCCAAGTTTACTCGAGGCAATTCATGTGCAGGAATTGTATTCTTTGGCATATTTTAGTTTATTTTTGGCGCCGGTTCTGTCAAAATAACAGCGTGTTCGACAACAAACAGGTGTTTGTTGGCAATCATCAAGTTTCCGCTTGAATAAATCAAAGTTGTAATTTACAAACAACAGTTTTGTAGACGTTTTTTTTTTCAAAAATATGAAAATTTGAGGCCTGTCCAAAAAATTAACATCTAAAACAATCAAATTTCACCTGAAAAAACAACACTGATTTATATTCTAGATTTTAAAATAAACGTAAAAGCAAACCCTACAGCACAATCAGTTAAATCAATAATAAATTATTTAAATTATTGTAATCTTTAATTATTTCAAAACTGAAGCTGATGTTTGAACTTTTGGTTTTTTAACTTTGAAATCCAGACAACATTATGTACAAAATGTTGTAAAAATTTTCTGTCAAAAATACTCAGTTAAAAAGTCGAAAATTAATTGATTAAAAAACTTCCCAAAGCACTTATATTCTGCGTTTTCGTCAAACATCGGAACAAGTCTTGTTATCAAACTACTAAAATTGGTCCATCTCGTTTAATCAAACTTCAGATGCTATTTAAAACAAATTAAACTTTAATAAAAAAATTTTTGTGTCAGCCAGACTATTTTTCAAATTTAAGCATTTTATTTGTAAGTTTTGGGTAACCATTACTTTGACAGGAACTATTCTACTTTTCACCTATTTCATTTTTCACATTTTTCATTTATTTTCGATCATTTCGTCCATTTTTTGTACAATAAAAAAACTATTTAATTGGCCATAATTGCAATCGGAACGTTCAGGTTTGGCATTGCTTATATCAATCACACCTTGTTCATCTGATGTTCCATTAAAACTTTTCCATTAAAATCTTTTCCATTCCTCATGGTAAGTAAATCAGAACAGAAATTGGGCGAAATAGTTGAATTGTAAACATACAAAAGCCTCCGAAATTTGAGAAGATTACCTTAGATCACGTAATACATCAATCTTTTTGTTCCGTCTTTTGAAGAAAGTGCGGAATATCTATGCCTGGTTTGGTTTTTTCATTTATTCGGTCAATTTTCGACTTGTTAACTAAGCGTTTTTGACGGAATTTTGGGATACCATCTGAAAGATACTGTTATCTTAAACTCAAATTTAAAAAGTTATTTCACCTGTGATTATTTTTGTTACGTTACGACCGTTTGAAAATTGCAAATTTGGTCAACTTTGGATAACTAGATTGCAATATATTGTGTACTTATAAGAAGCGCAAGAAGCGAATTTATGCGTTCCAAATTGAATTGAGGCTAGCAGCTTAATCCTATTATTACAATACGAAATGCTAAACACATCCTCAGTGTTTTTATTAGCGCGTGGGGCAATAAAATGAAGAAAACTTGAAAAAAGGATTTTCTTCTTTTTTCTCAATTGTTCTGTCAATTATTCAACCAAAAAAAAAGTTTTCAGTTGACCTTAAATGCAATCGGAACATTCAAAGCTTTGCTCTGATATACGAGCAGTCATGTTTAAACTCTAAATTATCTCTGATTTCTTTTGCTTCCATTTAATTGTTTCGCTCAAGAGAAATTCTGTAAAAAATATTTTTGACTAGAGAGTAACTTATCAATGATTACACATTAATAAAAAGTATTTCGTTGTTTTCAGGGAAGGCAATTCAACTTTTGATTATATCATTTTTACAATCGTCTCTTTTACAACTCATTTCTGCCGCAATTCTACACTAATAACTTTTCAGGGCGAAGACGGTTAGGTTACTAATTGAAAACTTTGCTCCTTGTTGTTTTAAGCACCCTCCATCATTTACACCGAACGGGTCCAAGGTGCGTCCATGGCTTGGAAAGACATCAACATGTTCGTCAAAGCAGGCAAGTGTTGCTCAAAAACAAAAAAGCAGCTGTTGACAAATGTGAGTGGACACATTTCGAAAGGGGAGATTATGGCGCTGATGGGACCTTCAGGAAGTGGGAAAACGACTATTCTGGATGTATTGGCAGACAGGGTTAAGAAAGCGGAGATTACAGGAGAAATTCTGATTAACGGGAAGCCACGAGATCAAAAGGTAGAGCTCTTGTTTATTTACTCTAACAAAAAACCTACATTAGAATAATGACAAAAAATACAAATATTCAGATGAATTGATTCACTATTCGGATTCGAACAATGTTTTCAACTTTGTTATTAAAAAAGAAAAACAATATTATGACAAAATGTCATTGAGACAACTGCGTAGTAACTGCATATGAAAGATTGATCGCTACCACATTTTTTTCACCAATGCAGTGTGACATCATTTAGATCTACTTTCTGTTGCAGAAGTTCCGCTACATCTGCAGCTACGTGAGTGTGGACGATGAGTTCTACGAAGTGTTCACAGTTAAGGAGACATTGAACTTCACCGCCGCCCTGGCGCTGCCCAAAGTGTCCGGGGACAAGCGGAAGGAGAAGGTGGAGAAATTGATGCAGGAGAGCGGCATGACCTCATGTGCCGGCACTAAAATAGGAGGAAAGGTGTTCCGGGGACTCTCAACAGGCTAGTTGTCGCCCTCACCACGGCACAACTTCAATGTGCCATTCTCTTAAAACAATTTCCTCAAACTAATGTAGCTTTGAACACCAGTTCCCGCACCCATTCAAATATTACGAAGATGGTGATGAAAGGTCTTAGTTTCTCGATCAGTCTTTCTCAGCTAACGAATCAGAATAGGAACCAGTTTTTTAAAACATTAGACTCATCCATTCCTCATACCTGATAAATTTGAGCGCTGAATTAAGAACTTCAGCCCTGAATGCCAATGTCGTGATCTTATATTCCAAAATTTGTTTCAATTTGGTATTTTTTATCATAAAAAGTTTTATTAGGAGTATTGAAAGTTGTGAAGACTTTTTACAGGTCTTGCTGATTTTTTTTTGTTTTTTTTTTCAGGAAAAAAGTCTTAAAATATTGATGCACTTAAGTATATTTTCACTTTTTGAGTTAAATTTAATTTCATCTGCTAAAAGTGACGTTAATAGTCCTCTCCAAATACGAACGTGGAAATGGTGCAAAAAACTTAAACAATTTCTAGTTTCGAAAGTGGAATTTAATTCTTAGATTTCCAGTGGAATAAAAACATAAACTGTTGATCCAATTTTCTCATATTGGGTTAATGTTATCAAAAAGTGCATAATTATTAAAACTCAAAGAGCTTAAAGGGCATCTGTTTTTGTCTTTGAAATTCGAAAGTTGAGTTTTTTTAACAAAGTCAGTATTTTTTTTTATGTTTACTTGCATTCATTGCTCATTTCCAATCTTCGATTGGCTATTTTCTTAAAATTTCAAAAATTGAGGTTTTCAAAAAATATTCAGTATTTTTTTCTGTCGACTAGAGTTCATTGAATTTTTTGCTACTGACTGTCCGTTGTATATGTTTTTTTTTCAGGAAACTTTTTTTTATAATTTATTCACATTCAGATTTGATGTTTTGTGCTTTGATTTGTGATCTCTTTTTGATTTCAGTCTTTTCCTTCGATGAAAGGAAGGCAAGCTTTTGAATAAAAAAAAACGCGTAATTGACATCTAGCTTCGAACCTGGAGTTTAATTTGCAGTTTTTCCCGCGGAATGAAAAACTTACCTTATGATATGGTTTTCTCAAATTGGGTTAACTTATCAAAGAAAGGTGTACCATAACTTGCTCTAGCAATTTACAGAGCTGTAAGGCCGTCTATTTCATCGTTAAAATCTGTCAGTTTTTTTACTGATTTTTTGCGTTCATAAGTGTTTTATCCACTTATCTGGTGGTTATTTTTTTTCGGTTTCTTTTTTTTTTCATTGACTCTTTTCCAACTGTCTGTTGGTTATGTTTAGACTTTTATTGGCTTTGTTGTAAAAGAACAAAAAATAACATTTTGTTCGGGAAAAACTAGTTTGTGAATGTTATGTTAGCGCTTTTTTGGAAATGTATTTTTTTAGAAAATGATATTAGAAAATGAAAAAACGCAGAAATTGTTTTTGTTTTTAATTTTCGCAGAAAAGTGTAGTCGAATATGGTTAATTAGCCAAAATTAATAGCTTTAGTTTTGTTCCTCTCAATACAAAAACTAAAAAGTTAAGAAAAGCACAAAAACTAAAAATTTGGAAAAAATACTTAATGCTGCTATCTGAAATTAATAACCAACCTGGCTGGATTAATCCCTATAACAACCTATTCACGTCGAAACGTTCTCACTTTCCTTTGTTTCAAGCTCGGAAAAACTTCTTTTTTCGATAAACATGCCTTTCAATTGTCTAGGCCAACGGAGACGTCTGAGCATTGCGATGGAGCTGTTGAAAAGTCCGCTCATTCTGTTCATGGATGAACCTCTCTCAGGGCTGGACGGATCTGCCGCCGTCAACATCATGGAGTGTGTTGAGGGATTGGCTCAAGCAGGTAAGACACGCCCCCTTCTTCTCTGCTGAGTTTCTTCCTAGTCTAATAGATATCATAAAATATGGCGATCCTATTCAGTCTATTTCGAAAATCCTTGACCGTCCACTGGAGAAATACTGAAACAAGTGTTCTCGATCTAGCTTTGGCAGAAAATTAGCCATATAACTTTTGTATCGAAGATTTGTATCGAAGATTGTTGACTCTAACAAATTGTCTCGTTTATATCTCTAGGTTGCAATGTCTAAGGCTGGATAAAAGAACAAAAAATTATAGCAGAGTTCATTCTCGCAACAAGTGTGCTGAATAGCTATTGGGCCTTACTTTTCGTTCTGTCATTTAGGCATGACAATTCTTCTGTCGGTCCATCAACCGCCTTCAGCAGTATGGAAGATTTTCAGTAGTGTCACTCTTCTAACAGCAGGCCAGTTACATAAGAACATGACATGCCCGCACAGAAGTTTTAGATGGATAATAATTGATTATGTTCGATTTTTATAGTCTGTCCCCGTCTCTCTAAAATTCAAAAACAATCGGGATGTAATGGATTATTTTGCCAATATTTTCCGAAGCAGAAAAAATCCATTCCTAATCGATTATAATGGATTAGCTTATTATAGTTTCAAAAAAATTTCGGATTATAATTTCAAAAAATTTCATCGAAAAATAAACAATCCATTTGAATCGATTATAATGGATTATAATCAATTTTTTAAAATCCTTTAGAGAGCTCTTTTCATTTGCTCGTAATTGCTTTAAACTTAAGTTATCGATTTTGTTTTCTCACTAAATTTCATTTTTTCCTAATTTTAGGTTAATTATTTTCGTCATTTTTTATTCATTTTTATTCATCGACTCTTAAAAAACAAATTCGAAACCCCACATTTTACACTAAACCACCCTCCTACACTTTTTCCTTCCCTTAAGTTATCTATTCCGGTAGGGGTAGGGGAGGGAGTGGGTTGGATCAAACTGCGGGGGGATGGGTTAGAATTGTAACATTACATAAGATGACATAAAGTAAGTTGAGTAAAGTTGTGTCATCTGATTATTCAGGAGTCGTAATGTATAGTGGACCAACAGGGCCCGTACTGGGCTTCATGGAGAAGGCTTCGGGCAGAAGGTGTCCAAAAATGACCAACCCACCAGATTTTTTTCTCAACTTGATCAACGCCGACTTCGACGGTAAGTTTAATGTCGATATACAATACATACTAGTCTGAAAAAACACTGTTTTTTTTCTCAGAATTCCATTTATACTTGTTCCCTTAATTTCTTCTAAACACCCTGCAGATTTTTTTCGTTTTTGAGGCCATGCGGACATCAAAAAGATTGCACGTGATTACTTGCACAGTGCGGAAAGACAAGACATTCAGGAGAAGATTGAGCTGGCGAGAACCATGGGGCGCGGCGTCGATGACCGACTAGTTCGTAAGAGATGCAACTACTGCAAACAGGTAGGTAGATGTTTAATACTTCAATCATGATGAATCTAGATACATTGTCTGAATTAAATACATTGTTTCGAATTGGTTTTTTAAGAGTCGATGAACGTATTGCGGACTCTTATCTAGGTCGCGATAATTTTTTTCTTTTTTTCAGGAAGAGTCTTAAAAATTAGTTCAGGCTTAAAATTAATTTTCGCGGTTTGACTTAAGGTTTATTTTTATAATCAGTTTAACAAAAACAATGCAAAAGAACCGCAAACTCCACTATCAAACAGCGAAAGTGTAAAGGTCACGAAAAACTTGATTGACTTCTAGTTTCGAATAAGGAATTTTAATTATCAAACTTCCCAGCGAAATAAAAGTTTACCTATTCATCTAGTTTTCCCATTTTGGGTTACTTTTATCAAAAAATAGTCAATTATTGGTTTTTTTTAAATCAAAAAAGTTTTAAAGCGAAAAATGAGTTTTTTTAAAAAAAAAACAAGTGGTATCATTGTTCCGTTTACTTGTATTCATTGGCTCGTTTCCAACTCTCCGTTGGCTATGTGTTCAGTTTTGCTATAGAATCAGTTTCAACTTTCAATTAAGTGCAAAAATGTAGAATGACCAGAGCATATTCTTAAAGAGGCCCCCTTTTTTATTTGCATGCTACCTTTTTGCCTACTATACGCAGAAGTTTTGATGCAAAGCCTTAAG